GTGAACTGCTAATTATGGCTTACGCGGGTTGTACATTGGTGTAGAGCTGGGCCGTGGGCAAGTAGAGCGTGCTGAACTAATTTAGAATTTGACAGAGCATAATGGTTTGCAACGCATTAGAACTTTTATGTACAATATTTTGTTATTGCCTTGCATTTGCGTAACTTGCATAAGGAAAAAGTGTTTCTAAGTAAATATTACTTTTAAAAGGTCTGCCTTTATTTTTCCATTAAAAATAAAAAAACTGTAAATGTAAATTACTCTAATGGTTTTTTTTTTTTATATGTCTTAAATTAGCTCTTGCAAAAAAGAAATGCGTCTTAAAACGAGACTGCTTTCAAAACAATCCTGCCAAAGCATACTTACTTCAGTTTTTTAAGGGAAATGAGTTCAGGTCTTTTTACAGGGTTGGGGTTTTTTGTTTCTTTTTTTCCTTTTCTTTCCTCTTTTGCAGCCTCATCGTTTTACAGTGGCCTGGCGCTGGTGTGGTAGAACAGCGTTGCCCATGTAGCCCAGCCATGCTCTCACACAGTGACTCTCTCTCCTGCCTGGCCACAACAATGAAGCTCTGAGCTCAAACGCTGGATTTCTGCCTTGAAATTGAAAGGATTTTTAGCAAGATCAGTTATTTTTAAGTGTTAAGGGTGTCTTATCACAGCATTTAAATTTGACTGTATTTCATTTGCTCTTTGTTTTGTGCTGGTTTAGTTCCAATCCCACCCCGCAGCTCACGTGAGGCTGTCTGCACCCGCTCTCACCCTACACTCCATTGCATTTCGTTAAACCCTTCTACAAATTAAAACTGAATTTTGAAGTATGAAGTTGTTAAGTTTAGGACTTAAATATTTGTACTGTCGTTTTTTAGTATTTTGCCATAAATACCTGATCGCCCCTCTGGCATCAGCTGCAGCCGCAGGGCTGTATTCCTGGGCCAGGTACCCGCAGCACATGCCCCCCGCAGGACCAGGGATCTGGCCAGCCTGGCCGTGCTGTAGCTAGGAGTAAACGGACATCGCAAATTACCTGCAGAATTACTTCAGCATCGATACTGCACATTAATCGCCGGTAGCAGGGGTCAGGTAGCGAAACCCACTGGAAAAGGCAGCCTCGGCCCAGGGTGCGATCGCTGCAGGGGGGTGTGAAAGGGCCACACGGTTCCCTTCCATCCCTTCCCCAACTCCAACAGCCCCCACGAATCACACTTTGATGGGGGGGAAACAGGAAAAAAAATAAAGCGCCAGGATGCAGTAACAGTCACTGAGTGACTGGAGCCACAAAAGCCAACAGTGAGGGGTTTTAAAGAAAAAAAAAAAAACCAACAACAAAAAATAACCAAAACCTAAACCGGCACCCAGACTTTCTCTCTGCCCCTGCTGAAAGCTCCAGGTGTTCACCTGCAAAATACCACCATTTGTGGAAAAAACATCAGTGACAAACCTCCCACTATGGATTACGGTGTAGTAGTGTAAATAGTTTATTTGATCTTATGCCAGGAACAGACCAGGAAAGTAACATGAACTGCTTTTATAAAACACTTCTAATATTGCTAAGAAGCAGGTCTATTACTAGAAAAATATTAAAGAGAACATGCCAGCATTATATTCTAGTTGTATGGAAATTTTTGTCTTCAATTAAAAAAATACCTTTGAGTTTAAGAATGTGAGAGCTAGTGCTTTTAACCATTTGCCTAACAATTTATTAAGTTAATTGTCAAATTTTCTTATGCAGATTAAAATACTCTTCTGTCACTGTCAGTGAAGAAAGAGGTGATTTGGCATGTTCTCTTCAGCTTGTCAAGTACACGTTGCTGTAAATGCAAGAAGGTGGCAGTTTTTAAAGTAAACTTCCTGTAAATAGGTAAGCAGAGGTCAATGTGGTAACTTTGAGCCCCAAACTGTCCATTTAGTTAAATATAAAAACAAAAACTATAAGTTAAAATAACATTCAGATTGTATAGCACAGGCTGATGCATTATTTTTTTTTTAAACAATATTTACAATATTACCCAGAGGCTAAAGTGGGAATAAAAGAGAAGTGTAAAAACCATAAAAAACTGCACCAATTTTGTAGCAAAATATCTGTACATTTAAAAACAGATTATCATATAACTACACATTATCCAAGAAAAAAATGGGACCTTCACCAGTGGTTCACATAAGCACAACATAAAAGAAAAAGAAATTCAGTGGTTAAATACTATACAATAAATTTTACAATTAACATATTGATGCAATGAGACCAGGAAAGGTAAGCTGTAAGCAAAATGTATCTTGGAAAGTACAAACTTTTCTTCAGTCCAGTTCTTCACTTCTGAGAAGATCGCGTACCCTGCCGGCACGAATTCAGCTTCGTCTCGCTGCTCTGGGATACTGGTGCAAACTGGCGGCGGGGGGTGCGTAGTGTTGCTGAAGTTAAGTCTCACGTTCCTTTTTAAGCTTTCAAAACGCAACGTATCACCTACAACCTACCGGGATTTTTAGGCTGGGCATCCCTTCGCTGACCAACCGATCCTTAGCAGGGAATTTGAACTGGATTGTCCAAGGAACTTGGGAGTCGGAGCAGGGTATTAATCCTACAGAGCAGGGCACAGGATGATTCTCTGCGCGAGTAACTGAACTGCAACGGTCCTCAGGATCCTAATACTGATTATTGAGATGTTAATACCTTAGTGCTAATTAATAAATACACTGTTATTCCAAAGCTGCCTCTAGCTGAAGAACATAGTACATGCCTTAGCCACCCTCCTCGTTTTGTGCATTTGCAATGCATTCCCCCCCCCAGCACCCTGCATTGCACACTACAAACATCACAACCTCAAGGTGAAGACTCGTGTTCCTTTGCTATACATCTTGTGATCACCGACGTACGTGGTACCGCATCCTAGCTACAGTGGTGTGGAGTCTGTGTGTGGTGGGAAAAGGTACGGGTCTCTTCTTGGAATTGCTTCCATGTTACACAGAGAAAGCCCTTAAATGTCTTCCTTTTTTTAAAACGACAAAAAAGCCAGTAAGTGCAGCTGAAGCCAAGGTGAAGCCCTCGGCGGACAGCACAGGAATGCATTTAAAAGCAGAGCACGTCCAAGTATTACCTGTTCACAACCAGCCGGGATGCAGGTCAGGTCCACAGGAGACCAGTCACTAAACTTTTATATAATCAAACCAAACTAAACACCCAAAAACAACACGTATTTTACATTTTGGTTAAAAATACTGAATAATGTATTGGTGTAAAAAGATACCCAATCAAATCAAGTCCTATTGCTTTGATTAATTTGAGCAGGTACTTCAATTTTAGGCACTTGTTAGCTACGGTTGAGTGGAGAGCCCATCGCTGATGTTCCTATGCATTTTCTAGGTCTTTGAGCCCTTTAGAAGGTAAATCTTACTGTTCCCAAGGCTGTAAATGAGTGGCAGAACACAGAGTTCACACGGACAAGGTATCATTCAAGCACCCCCTTTACTTGACACCTGCAGGTCTCCAGCTCACATGGTTATTTCAGCACCGTTTGCAGAGCGCAAGTTCTGATCATCAAAGCGCCGCCGGACGCTTCTCCTCACCGCGTCGGCCCGTCGGTACGGCTGGTTTCTAAGATCTGCGGAGAGGAAAGCGGCGTTCGTAAACACGCACGGCTCGCCCACGTGCACACACACACACGCGCGCAGACACACGCACACACGCAGTCTAGACAAGGAAAAGTCCTGCTGGAAGCCAATCAAAGCAGCTTGTGTAGGAACAGGAGAAGGGACTTCACCCCAACGAGAGCAGAAGTGAGCAAATACCGACGTGCCCTTTTACTACGCACCCAAGCAGCAGGTAATACTGGTGAAATGCGCTGAAATGCTGGTGAAACTAAATGGATTTATGCCATCAAGTTAGCGTGAACGTCTCCTCGCCCACGGGCTGCTAGTGTTCATTAACGTCAGTAAGGGAGGCAACGTCAACTGAAATCGGTTTGCTTGACGTATGCCTCGGTCCTTCACACAGCCTCTCAATCGTTAGCGTGAGCTGGAGGAGTTTTCTAAAGCGGGATGAAGTTCACTGGAGATGTGCGACCCAGGGTACAATGGTGCAAGTGTTTAGCAACACAAGGATGGATCTATGCTCCCTATATCTACCCATTTATCTAAAAGAGGGGGCCCTGAGGAAAAGCAGCTGGTACGCTGCCGCCGGCTTGCAAAGCTCCAGCTGCCCTCCTGCCCCACTGCCACCATCTCGCCCGGCTGCAGAGATGCTTCGTTAGCCGAAGGCAGCGGAGCTGCCAACCCCCTCCCTCCTCCTCCTCCTCCTCCTCCTCGCCGGTGACAAAGCCCGGCCCAACCTGCCCTGCTGCTGCTTCTGGGGAGGTGAGAGCTCGGGAGGGAAGAGGAGGGAATACTGAGCATGCAATGGATCAAACAGCGGAGAAAGCTGGAGATGGACGTGTTGATGAAAGCCTGTTACATGTGCTGTTACACGGGCGGCTAGGACATAACAAGCACACTTGTACACCTGAAGACTAATCCGAGTTAAAATATTTCTCTCCTGGAAAAGAACTTTGCGCTGGACTGGGCAAACCCTCCCTCAAATTTCCTGGACTACTTATGTCTTGGTTTAAATACACCTCCCAAACTTCTCAGCTCTTGGTGTACCCCAGCAGAAGGTGCCTTTGTTCGAGGCTGCCCTCTCCCATCTCTGCACTTCGAGCTGCTGGCTGTCTGTCTCTCGTGCCCCGTTCAAGGCCGTAGCGGGAGCGAGATGGGTGCAGCAGAACCAATATCCAGGGAACTACGGGGCTGAAACAACCTGGGGACAAGACTGCCTGTCTCGGGCTAAACTTGGAAAAGAAAGGGCCAAAACGGAGAGAGTGTGAAGACGGTCACCAGCCAAGGGCCTATGGATCCCCTGCACCGCAGAGGGTGAAAATAAACGGTCTCGGTCTCCACTGGCCTTTAGGCTCTCACCAGTATTACGCTTAGCCACATCTACCAACAGGCTGTCTGGCATACAGAGAGAGGAGGAAGCTAAGTAAAAAGTGATGCTTGCCAGCTCTGTGTATCCTCCACCACCGGTGTGCTAGAAGAAATCCTTACCCTCGAGTGAACATTTGGAAATTTAGTGATATTATTCTTCTTTAGGGCTAAACAGAAAAAAAAACAAAACAAAACAAAACACAAAATGATGGTTAAGTAAAAAATGGGATGGAAAATGAAGAGCAAGTCAACTCAGCGTTCAAAACTCCCAGGCACGTTAGCCAACAGAGCAAGAGGGGGTAAGGCCAAGGCTACGAGAGGAGGTTAGACACGGAGAGGAAAGGACAGGAGGGCCACCCTCGCCTCTCGCTAACCAAATTCCAAGCTGCTTTGAAGATTGGCTCCAGGAAGATAATACAGCAATTAACTCGAAAGAGCAAATAACCGTTGAGCTGATTATAGTTTGCAATTTTATTAGAAGCATTCATAAAAATACATATCGCAAAAGTGAAACACTGTTGTCTTCTTAAGCCGCTGAGTCCTTAATTCAAGACAACAGTGTTAACAGACATGCTGGGTTAAACACACCCTTCTTAGACTTTACACCACACGATGTAAATTGCTCAGTTCCATGTCAAGCTTTTCATTGTCACAATTTCTGCGGTTCTGGCACGTAGCTACGTGTTTCCCCAGCTCTGCTCCTTCCCTCTCCCCCCGGTTCCTGCACCGCTGCCGCTACCGAGCCCAACCCCAGCACTGCGCAAAGTCCAAGTGAATTGGAACTGGTTAGTGCTCAGCAAACATCCCTGACTTTATTTCGATAAAGTTGGCATGGAACTGAAAAATGTTAAATATGGATGTGACCGAACGAGAAAAGATTTTACGCTGTTCATTTTATCCCGTATCTCACATGCAGACAAACATGCAGGTGCTGGTTAAGAAGTCTAAAACAAAACACTCCTCGCAGAGGACGTACATTATTACAGACAACCCTTCCAAGCCAGAAAGCAAACCCCAAGAAAGTCCCGCTCAGTTCATGCAGCCCGTAATTTTGCTTTGGCATACAGCTGATGTATTACATGCATTTTACATAGAGAGACTGGCATACAGAGAAAGATCTGTAAGCCAGAAGAGATGACATAGAAAAGCCAAGTGAACTGTCACTTTACGACTGCATTTGATCTCCTAAGTCTTGTGAACTGTAGGAAATCTGCACCAAGTCTACCGTGACTTCCACCACTTGCTGTTCTATGGCATTTGTCAGGAGGGTGAGAGATGCCTTTGAAACGCAAGGATGGCCAAAAGCATCGAGTGCAAAGTCGATGGGATGGAATAAAAAGTTACGGAAACACAAGAACATGCAAGAGAGGTGACATAAATACAACTTCAGGTGGACGCTGGACATTACTATACACTCAACATTCACATGATCCTGGCTGAGATCCGTACAAATGGAGAAGTGTCAAAAATCTACAGCAACCTTTCTTTTTTCTAAGAGCATCAGATGTGAAAGAGGAATAGTTTAGTAATGGAATTCCTCAGTGAGAACAGGTTCGCAGAAAAACCGAGAGCCCCGCTTGGCGGTTCGAGCGGTAAAGGGCACAGTCTTCAGCACTGCATGGGAATAACAGCCAAACAGACAAACAGAGCCGTGAGAAGCGGATCTATTGCATTAGTCCAGTGTTAGTGCTCGGTTACGGACACCCAGGGACGGTTTTACATGTTCCAACCAGCTGTCTAATAGCACTGCACTTCAATAGGCTTTGGCAAAAAGGCAATGGTAAGTCTTTGGGTAAGTATTTCTTATAATACCTAATTTTCAATGCATTTGAGAGACTATTGCTAAATATGCTCCAGAGAAGGGTGTGTTGTGAGACAGGGCTCTGCTCCGGAGCAGCAGAGCTTTCCTGGGCATCTGAGGCGGCACTATCCAATTTAAAATGACAATTCTGATCATTTCCATACCATTGACAGAGTTCTCGTGGGCCGTATTCAAGTGACCTCAGTCCTACCCGACTTTCTGTGCCTAACCTTTATTATTACACGGCTTGAGGCCCTCAGAGACACACCCCCATAATGGGAAATACTAGAGCCAAGACCATAGAAAATGTTTGACTCTGGCACACCCTCCACTTGACTGCCTTTTGCATGTGCATGGTCTTCTGCCACACAATCTGTTTCTCCCACAGAGCAGGAGAACCACTTTACCAATTAAACACGCTTCCAGGAGTCTGAAGGAGTTGTAGAAGCAGTAACAGATTAGATATTATAGTGATTCTGCCCTTTAAATAAAGAATATTGTCTTAGGAAGCTATTAATCAAGGTTAACAAGAGTTGTGAAAGCTTCAGGCATTTCAGCCCTGTCATCTAGCTGGGCAAAAACTCCCTGGCCTTCCTTAGTGAGTGGTAAAACAGCTCTCCTGCCCTCCTGCAGGAAAAACTCATGTGAAAAATATTCAGGAGCAGTAGCCAAGGAAATCCTGCCCAAAGACCTTTTTTTGAGCTTCTGTGCAATGGCAACAAATTACTGTAAAACTATCGAACATGCTCCTTCCACACCACAGGTGAAGAATGTGCAGTAAAATCAAAGTTCTGCAATCAGAGCAGCTGTATAGATAAAAAATGATGTGACTCCTGAACAAATGAGGTTTAGAAGGTGCCTCTTTTTATCAGCAAATACTTGCACCTAAGTCCTGACTGTGTTTGGCTACAACAGCGGGTTTTCAGCCTCTCCCTCCAGCCCTAGGTTGGGATCAGTGCAGACTTTGCCTACCAATCTGAGAAGCAGTAAAACCAGAAGCAGTTTAGGGTCATAAATCATTCAGGTTTGACCAAATGATTTGCTTTAACTGTGCAATAATGTGGTGCAATTACTGTTAGTACATTTTAATGAAAATGTAGGCTCTTAATAATGTTAAAATCCATCATTCATGCCATTTATTGGGAAATAACATTTCTGGGAAAGTTCTGCATGGCATGCATATCCCCACCAGAGCATCTGCTGAGAGCAGGCACTTAACTGGCTACTCTAAAGAGCAAAGAATGAATACGTCCCCACATGCTGAAAGAGAAGAACTAAGAAACTGAGCGTGTGTCCGAGGTCTGCGCACACAGCATTGGCAGCGGACACGTAAAGGCAGGTTACTGGGCTTTGTTTGTTACATACCATTAGCAAAAGTTTCTATACTTGATTTACATCATATAAACAATGTCCTAAGCTGTGCTCAAGTAATACTTTTTTAAGAAGTACAGAAAATGCTTACAATAGCTACTAGGCAGATACACTTTTTTATCCTTTGTGAAAGGGCCTCTGATATTACAGAACAAAAGGTGTGTTTACCTGTTATAATATCTTCAATAGCACCGTCCTTCCCTTCGTACACATGCCTGTTATCCTTGACTTGCCGCCGTCTGAGCTCTGCAATCAGCTCTTGCTGCTGTCTCTTTGTTTTATGTGAAGGAGACTGAAAACAAAGAAGAGAGGATTTGTAAGGACTGACCTCCAGCTATCCTGTTTCTCTCTTCCCATACGTTAAACACCAGGTGATCCCACCAACAGCAACCAGCAAACAGTAACTGCCAGTTTTCTGCCCAATTTTGCAAGACCAGGAAAACACACATGTGCAGTTAGCTCACGTCCCATGGAGAGGGTGGGCAGACTCACACATTAACCTGGATGCCAAGCTGCTTTTCTTTCTTATGTCTGTAATCTACTTCCAAGCCTTCTCATCACTTGGAACTGGAGCTCCAAGCTCTTACCTCTGAAAAGCATCAGGGGAACAAGGAGAACAAGCTTTCCTTCCGAGGGAAAAAGCTTGGCTGGGACTAAAGATCCCAACAACAGCTGCGGGAAGCAGCACCAGCCGACAAAGTGGCTGGTTTAGAGCCTTGGGAAACTTCCTCCAGCAAGTCTAAAGTGTTACCTCAGGAATAAAAGAAAACCCATGTCAGGAAAATACCCATAAAACGGTAACGTGGGGCTCAGTCCTGCTGCCACTCTCTGACAGGGAAGGATCTGGGGAGGATCGTTCCTTGTCCCTGTTAGTGACGAGAAGCTCTGCACACTGAACACCAGCAGGGTTTTAACAGATACAGGGTCAGAGAAGAACAAAGTTTAGCTAATGGCAGTGTGGACAAGGCGACTTTCTGTCTATTCAGTTTTTCTTAATTTTGCAGACTTCAGAAGTAGCAGAACCATAAACCGTATCTCTTTCAGCTTATTTCAGTTCTCTCCACGCAAGGAGAAAACTTCCAGAGACTCTATTTCTAGGCAACTAAAAGTTGGACAACTAAAGTTCTTGTACAGAGCTGAGGTTTCTGACCTATCAGGAAAAACACAAGAACATGATGGCTCCTGCCTGTAAGACATTATCTGTGTCATACCTTTTGGTCCTGTTGCTCCATCAACGCTTCTTGCTCCATAAGTTTTTCCATTAAGGCCTGTTCCTGCTTTTTTCTCAACTCATTCTCTTCTTCTGCTTGCTATTTATCACAAAAAACACAGGTTATAGCTTCCAGTTGCTATAGGGAACCTAAATGTTACAAATGAGTAACACCATCACTTGCTACCAGGGGGCTTTCCAAGGAAACAAGATTAGGTGTAGCAATTCAGCTGCCTCTGAGCACAGTCTGAAAAAACTGCGCTGGGAGAGACATTCCTAGGTCGCACAAACCATCCTCTCCCAGTTCCAAAAGACACCTATTCAGAGCTAAAGGTGTAAGCTGCAGCTGCTCAGACATTCAATTTCTGAGGATTCCTCCAGCGTCTCAGACAGCTGTGTTGTCTTTCAGCCCTGAAAATAAGCCCAAAACAACTCTTTGTGCTGCCTGGGGCTGCTGTTGCAGTGCTGTCGGGGATGGCTCACTTTGCATCAAAGCTAGAGGGAGCCCCAAGCTGTTTTGTTGGGAGCCCAGAGCCACACAGGTACCAAATCGGGTTCAGAAGGACAGAAGAGAAGAGAAGGATGCTCCTGTTTACCTTGTAGGCCTTCACAAACCGGACAAACACTGGGAAAAAGACCGAGGGGGGTGTCGTCTTGGGATTCTCCCCAAAGTACTTCACAGCATCATCAAAGGCATCCTAAAAAAACCCACAGGTTTGCTGCACTGCACATATTTCAAGACAAACTCACCATCCACGTCATTACTGTGGTATTCAGTGTAAAGAGTCTAGATTTCCTCTATATGTGAAACTCTTGGCTAAGACTGGCATGTCTATGCCTAGCACCTGAACTCAGGAACAAATACACAACACTTGCTGCCTCTTCTCCTCCCTGCTGTGTATATAAAGCACATCCTTTGCAGTGACATGCTACTACTCACTGTGTCACTCATACCCTCACGCCAAACCCCGAGAATAAAGAAATACCTGGGCTATTTTGGCGTCGTCCTGCAGTTTCTTTAGCTTCCCTTCGTTGTTCTGAATGAACTCCTTCAGCATCGTGTTGTGGTCATGCATGGTGTACTCGCGCTTTGTCAGATCCAGGCCCCTCTGCAGCTCCTTCACGTCCAAGAGGACGTTTTCAAGAGACACTAGGAAATAAAACAAAAATGCTGCATCGCTCCTGCTGTGCAAGTGCCTGAACCCACAGCTTGAACAACTCCCCACCGAGAAGAGCCCCCACAGCCCATGCACGGTGTGCCGTGAAGTCCCTCGCATGGCACGCATGCCACCACCGCTCACCAGGCACAGGAGGGTCACGGTACCTGCGGCAGCCTTCTCCACGTAATGAAGTTCGTTGTAAAAGAGGGATACGTGCTGGTATTTCTCCTTGACCACGTTAGAAATATAGTGCAGCAGGGTCTGCTTTCGGTCTGTTGACTTTGTTTCTAGGAGCTGGGGAGAAAAGGCAAAGAGACTGCTGGGTGGAGGTGCAAGCAGGCTCCAAACAAAGCGACTTGACCCGTGCTTCTCCATCTGACAGGGACAGCTGTAAAAGCTGTAAAAGCCCATTTAATCGTTTAGCAGCTGGTTTTCAAGCTGTCGTCCGCAGAGCCTCTGAAGACAGGTGTCTTCTCCTAAGCAGCCTCCCAAAACAACGATAAGCAAAGCAAACTCGCATGGCCTGGCAGGGAGCGCCTTCCCTGCTGCCACTCTCTGCCTTCACCGGCTGCAAAGCACCGACCAAGTCCCCCAGCAGCCACTTGCCGTCTACATGAAATACATTCCCACCTGGTCCCCACAAGGTTTACTTACCAGGTCTAAACTCTGTAGCTTAAATCCATACACAGCTCCTCGTTTACTGCTGTTCATGTAGTTTCCAAGAGCCAAGATTATCTGTCAGGATAAAACACAGCAGAGCATGAATTTTCAGGGCAAATGCATGGCGCTTTAGAAACCTCTGGAAGGAGAGTTGGTACGTCAGCATCCAGGTATGGTTTCAGTATATGTAATGGGACGCACCAGGGAGTGATGGAGCTATTGAATGTATCTAAGATCAGACCTACCTCCAGTATTTTCTTAAGCTTTTGGGATGACTTTATTGAGACAGATGCAGCTATTATTGCATGAAGTTGCTGCAGGTAAACACAGGAAAAGCTTTGGTTAATGCATGTCCAACCCAAGGGTAAAGTTAAAATCTAAACACTCACATTCTGAAAAAACCCTGTTGGTTTTCATCCATACTGTGGGCCCTAGCATGAATGTTAATCCTGCCCTAACACATCAGGATTTCAAACATTTGCACCGCAGATTTACCACACTCAGATGTGGTTGGGTAAAAGTGTATTTACATTTCAATGCTTATGACTGAGAAAGATGCATCAGGCTGAAGAGGACGCACTTCAAAGAGCCCACAGACCAGTACTGATAATAACCTTCCCTGATGATACAAACTACTAGATTTTCATTTAAACCAGTTTTAAACTTCTACAGGGTAAAGAAATAGGACAGTACAGAGTAGTCCAGGGTACAAACAGCACCTGGGATATCAGTCGTTGATATATGAAAATATAGCTTGAAAACCACTTTTTCATTTGTGTAATTGTTTCTTGTTCTGTCTCCGTGAGAACTGATGATCACTCCACAACACTTAAACCATCTCTCTGTCTTAGAAAAATTAAAATCTCTATAACCCTCACCGACTACCCCGCACGTTCACATGACTGCAGTGCTCCCCGTAAGCTGACCCATGCCGCAGATCGCAGCTTTTTAAGTGGAGGCTGAACCCCCAGGAAGCCCGGACCCCTGCACAGCCAACGCATCGCCCCCGTGCCCCCAGGGATTGCCCCTCACTCACTGGGGTCAGCATCTGGATGCTTTCTGCAAAGTTGCCTATAAACGCCATGATGGTCATCTTCTGCATCAGCCTCTCAATCTTGCTGAACTGCATCATGAACCGGTCTTCGTCAGACAGGTTCTCGATGGGTTTCCTCTCCCGCTCATAGAGCCGCAGAACTTTCACTTCGTTCTCGGTGGGCAGGAACCGCATGAGGCATTCAACAAAATCCACCGGCAATGTTTTCAGGTCGAACCTGCGTGATACCAAACCAGAAGAAGTGGTGTTACGACAAGGCTTGACACCAAACGATGGAAAAGTGAGAAAGCTGCCAAAGGCAGCTCTGCCTCCTATGCTGCTCAGCTACACATGAGCCTGAGTCAGTAAAGCAATGAGAAACTACAAAGAAGCTGTAAAGTTACTCCTGCTCTTCTTGCCCTGGCTGGGGTGGGGGCACTGTCCCACACGTGAAGTTCTGTGCGCATGAAGATGTGAACAAGGTTACTGTGCTGAGGTGAATGGTGCTGCTTGGGCACCCTGTTTCTGTTTCCAAAGACGTGGTCACCCCTTCATGACCACACCTCATTATTATGAGAGAAGATAGGTGGGGAGGACCAAATAGCAGTTTTATTTAATTGGGCCAGAGCCCTGTAAACCCCGACTGCTGAACATGCCGGAATCTACAGCAGGTTTGGGTCACCCTTCTCACCAGCCCGAAGGTAATGCTCGTGCATCCGAATTTTGAAGATACTCCTCTGAGGAGGGATGTTAGACGTTTGTCAAGGCCACAAGTACTAAGTGCTTCTGGATGGACTCAGGATCAGCCCCAAGGAGCAGGTACACCTGCGCTCCGTCCCCGAGAGCCGCTGGAGTCAGCAGGCGAGGGTCCATATCAGCGCAGGATGGGGCGCAGCTGAGCCCCTCGCTGCACTCCTGCGGCAGGGGTCTGCCGTGTACCTCGGGTACACCTGCATCACATTGAGGTTTGGCACTGCCTGGGGCCATGATGTAAATCTAATTCTATGCAAAACCCTTCCAGTGCACTTGGACGAAACTCGTGCTTTATGGGGCAAACTAAAATAGTTGCCTCCTCCCGATGCTCTGGCTTTTGAGTGTGCATTGTAACAGAAAGTACTGTGCAAACAGAATGAGAGAGGCAGTATGCAATGGCATACTGTGGACATACATGAATTAGCTTCTTTAATAAAAGAAGTGTTAATTTGTTAAGTCTAAACAGTGATACAGTGACATAAAACTGCAAGTTTTTTTATTTTAGTTCGGGGAAATCTGATTTCTGGGAATTCAGAATGGTTCCATCCTTACTCCTGGATTTTTTCCAGATGCAAAAACATTGACATCAACTGCCAATTCAAAACCATTCCACTTACCAAAAATCACAGTAAATCTTAAACATGATTTCTTTGCTGACAAGTGTTTTACTTACACGTGAATAGCTTTGCATATTTCATCTGCTGTCTTTCCAGCTTTTCTTAAAGTAATGGCAAGATTTTTGGCCCTGTTGGCATCCAGTAATGTGACTTTGTTTGACCCTTTCTGAGTTATCTTTTGCTTGCTTGAAGTAAGATCAATGGCTGGGCCTTGGGCTTTTGTTTTGAATATTTCTTCAAATTCATCCACATTTAAATCCTAAAAAGGAATGAAAATGATTTATCCCTCCCGCAGCGAACACTAAAACCCACGCTGCCTAATGCTGTGCCAGAACTGCAGTAAAAACCTTGCAGCGGCTGAGACTATAGCAGAGTACTTCGATTAGGGGCTGCGGGATGTAACGAACATGCACTCTTGAGGCAGCGATTAGGAAATCTGGCCTCCACCCCCAATAGCCCCATTCACGTTCCAAAGTTCACGAAAATATTCATGCTAGCACTCAGGCTTTGTCCAGCCACGTGCACCTTCAGGGCACGGGGAGCATGCAAGACCTGCGTACTCGGCTCTGCTCCGGGCTGCGTTAGGCTTCCTTCCCCGGCGGGCGCGCAGCCACCCACCCAAGCCTAAACTCCTACAGAGCGGACCAGCAAATTTAGGCTGGGAAAAATGCACCTTCCTCATGTTAGCTGATCTGTTTTAAACAAATGCACACAACAGGTACACACCCTTTATAATCGATACTACCAGCTACCATCCCTAATTCTCAACCAAGGCAGTCACGCTGACCTACTGGGTACCAGGGGCTACTGGATGAGCTGTTTGCCAAAATAATTGCTGCAATCTATCCCTGCAAAGACCGATAGCCACTTGTATTATGGACAGAAGTGGGAAGAAGGTGGCAGCCAGCGGCACTCATACCTCCAGGATCCTTTCGTCATCTATTTCGTTGAAGACCGTTCCATTGATCTGGTTGGGTTTGAGGGCGACCCAGTTGAACACCGGCATGCGAAACTTGGTCTTGATTGGCTTCTTGATTTTCACAGCTAAAGACACCAGAGGAGAGGAAATGACAAATTCCCCAACCGCTGAAAAACACCCCGTGTGCCCAGAGTGCAGCTTTCGAGTCGGCATTTCAGCACTGGAGGAAGAACTGGCCAGAGCTAAATTATCACACTGGAAAGCCTGGAAAGATCTTGCTGCCTCGACAGGCAAACAGCACCGAGAGGCTTTCATCCAGCCCCTCCGCTGTTTCAGGTCCAGCCTCTGCAGAACTGGATTAAACGCCAGAGGCTGTGAAAACTTCACTAAAGGAAATGTGTTATTACTTTATTACTGCACGTTGTCTGGATTGATTTAAAAGCCCAAGCTATTTTTAAACGCTACAGAAAATGGAGAGAGTGGGCGAATTTAACCCTGTCCTGCTGGTTGCAGACCCCACTCTTGTGTGAGCTGATGCCCAGCCACGCACAGCTGATCTGTGATCGGTATGACAAAACTCAATGCAGAACAGGTGACAAGAAGAAAAAAAAAAAAACAGTTCTCAAGGCATTGTTGTAGGGAATGGCCTCTCCCACTGCCTGCTGCAATGGGGCAGTGCTGCTCCTCACCAGGTTTGTCTTCTGAAGCAAAAGGGGGTGGGCTGCAGCACACATGAGCTTTAACATGGCTGAAATATCAGGTTTAATCTTCCTGCGCTGTGCAGTAAACGATTTAGTAATTTACACACAGAAGCTATGAAAATGAAGACTGACTACTCTCATTAATCTGTGAACAGAGTACAAAAAAGCAATGTTGGAGCAAGGAAAACAACACTTTTCTATTGCTATTCCTAACGGGTCTGGAAAGTACACGAATAATTTCTGTAATTCAGTTCTCATTTCTCTGTATCTTGATGTAAACATGGAAGTTGTTAGTTGCTACAAAATCAAGATGTTCATTAAAGCAATCAATCAATGTTTTGCTCCTGAATTACTTGGAAAATAAACTGTTTCTTTCCAAGCTGCAAACATGAAACAGCAACCCTGGTCCTTCCTCTCCAGTGCTGGAAAGAAGAGCCATTCGGCCCGCAGCGGCGGTCAGCGGCAGAGAGGCATGCAGGGGATAGCCCCCGCTCCCCCCACCGGGGACAGATCGCGTTTGGTTTAGTTCAGTCCAGTGTTTGCTCCTGAGTCCTGCCTACCCTGCGTCGGTAGCAGGAGCAATCTTGCTAAATAATCGATGCTCTGTAGAGATGCTAGATTTTTTTTCCCCTCTGTTTCAGAAGATGGCCAGGTTCCCAGGTTGCAAAGCACTTGAGCAAATAATTATTTTACTTTCCCTTAATGATTCTGTATGTATGTTTTTGCCAGGACAAAGACATTCTATTTCAGGGGATGGTCCTGTTGTGTACTGGAGCTGGGTGAATGCTGAAAACATTTCTCTCACTTTGTCTTTCCAACTTTTAAAACAAGAATTGAGTTGTGCGTCCATGTCCCTTTCAGGCTTGTGCTCATTTTGCAGGGACATCACAAAGAATAAATTACTGGCAAGAGTATTTGCTTGAAACAAAGAACCGTAAGTGACTAACAGGGAACATACACGATATTCAGCTGTGTATTTTGAGAACTATATTTATCCAACTGGAAGGCATGAACACACGTGATCAACTTCTGCTCATCTAAACTAAATAGAGTTTTACTCGCTGCTTAATTAATGTGGTTACTTCAAAATAATTCCTAAAATAAAAAAAAGAAATAGCTTTTTCCATCCGAAACACCCATGAAAATAAACATTTTCCACTTGTGCATAGATTAGAATACATTATTAACTGCTCCTGGGTTATTTCAGGACAGGCAAGGAAGCTAACTGCCTCGTGGGCCAGTTCCTGATTTAGCTAATCAAAATCTCTTAAAATTTCCCTTCCTCCTCCATTACAGAGCCCTGGCAAGGTGACATTCCCGGGAGTCGCGCTGCTGCCGGCAGCGCCGCAGGGACACAGTCATGGCGGGGGACCAGACCCCGCCGAGAGCGCGGCTCGAGGATGGCTCAAAAGAAACGGCATGTCTCAATTATTTGCTGAAGTGCTTTGCTGAATCAGGGCCCCCCAGGTGCCAAATCCTGATGGTTGGCAGCATCCCCAAAGCTACCGCATGCTTCGGCTCCGGCTCTGGCCAGCGAGCCCCTGCACCAGCCTCCCCCCTCCCCACCGCCTCCCCATCGCCCACGCAAGTCCACAGGCACACACACGGGCACAGCACAGAGGGAAACGCGGAGAGGTAGGTAAATACTTAGCAGAAAGCAACCTACAGAAGAGCTTGATTGGCCCATCTTACCAGGAAGCAGAAGGAACAGAGAAAAAAATGTTAGCAATGGTCAGAAAAGCAAAATTTGTTATTTCACCAACTCCCCTCTGACCCAGAAGGTTCCTGCCCTGAGAAACGCTCCTTTCTGCGCAGCCATCGTATCAAGAAAAGGCACTTTCACTCTCCTTCCCTCTCCTAACTCACTGAAGAACAAAATATCCATCCCACCTGGCTTTGGGCATCTCACCTAAACAACTAAGCAAGGAGCTCAGCTGTGGGGGCTTGTCCCTGCCGTCAGTGAAGCTCAGAGGAGCCACGCGTGGAAGCAGCGCTTGCTCTGCTCCTCCTGTCCCCAATTAATACTGCAGGGACACTGGGCTAAGGCACGGCGTCTGGGCACCTGGCAGCACAACCCCCTGATGCTCACGGCAGCTCCTGTCTGTGTCATGCCTTTTGTGCTTTTTTGTTTGTTTTTTTGTTTGTTTGTTTTTGGTTTTTTGGTGGTTTTTTCTTTTTTTTTTTGCAGTACACCCTGGGACCCTCTAGTTCCATGATGCTTTTCCCTTTCAGAAGAAACTTTAAAGGCTGGAATACTTAATCAGTTTTCAAAAAAAGAAAAAAAAACTATTAATCAGAGCTCCTCAGTCTCTCTTTCTGGACTCATACCATGCTCTTGAGATTTCCTGGGAGGGAGCGGCACGATACCAATTAGCATTTACTTGCTTGGCATATGTCAGAGAGTGCAGAAAAACATAATTAAAGACAGTCAGTAAATTTTTCTTCCTTCCAAAAAATTACAAAAAGTTTGCCATTTTGTTTCACAGATATTTCTTCATCAAGTTCTCAGAAGAAATCAAAACCATGAAGCTTTGCGTTTCTTTCAAAACCATATTTTGTTTGCTTAAAGCCAAAAATGATCATGTTTGAAAAATATTTTTGGCAATAGCTTTAGTTTCACTGAAGAAGCCATCTCTTCCAGACCAAACTAAAAGCGTTTGGTTGATAAACGCTCTTTCCTTTTATAAACCCCTCTAAGTATAATACCAATAAGTGATAACAGGTGTTACTCAGGGGACTAAATAATGAAGTCCCACCTCAGCGGGACTAGCCAATGTGCCCTGACCTTGCCTTTGCTTACTCTGCCAGCAATCTGCAGCATGCCAAGGCGATGCACGGGTGTTTTACCTGCAAGCCCTGAGTTGAACACCACGGTGGGAGAGGCTGTCCCGGGCAGGGGGGGTGCTGACGGCGGGGGTGGTGGGGGCAGTGGAGCCGCAGGAGCCGTCTCCAACGACGGACCTGGGAGAGGAGGCGGCGGTGGTGGCGGTGGAGGTGGTGGCGGCGGCGGTGGTGGAGGTGGCATCGGCACCGACACAGGACCATTTTGCACTAAAAAATGAAGGGAAAACGAGGTATTACCACAAACATCGATCAAAATGTCACGCACCCGCAGAGAAAGTCACAACATCCACCCTGTCCCCTACTATACATGTCCTCTCCACCACAATACTGGCCCAAGCATTTTTTGGACCATTCACCGAAGTACTTCAGTGTATTAACATGAGAGGAAACTACTCTAAGAAAGAAGCTAGTATTTTCTTCTATCAATTGAAGGGCCCAGAAATGGATCAGACAAACATGGGAGCCACCCATGAGTGAGACTGTAAACACAGCTGGGGGACCTCGGCATCCTCGGTTGCTGCAAGGTGCCATGACCTGCAGGCTCGTTACAATCAAAGGCGTTTTTGTCAGCGTAAGGCTGTCGTGACTATCCCGGCACAACAAACTCCAGCTCCTGGCCAGCCCATGTCTCGGGGACATAACGCTTCTTACCTGCCTCAGACGCCGCTGCTAAGGCAGGTAATGGTGGTGGAGGTGGTGGTAATGGTACTGAAGATGCAGCTCCAGCGACCGGTGTGACACATGTGCCAGGTGCAGCCTCCGACCCTGCCGGCACCATTCCAGAGGCCAGAGCAACAGGAAGGATAGAGATGTCACCATCACCTTTCTTCTGGATCTTAATGGTTCCCTGCTTTTCCAGTTCATGGATCTTCTTCTCCAGCGTTGACTGTCGCTGGATGGCTTCTTCTTTTTCCTTCACCATTTTTCTCAAGGTGTGGACCTGGGTATTTGCATCTTTGTAGATTTCCTGAGAGTGCCACAGAAACAAGGAATTTGCACTTGTACTCACAAAACAGAATACCAACACCAGAAACAGAACAGCCCGACGGGATGGTCACTGCTCCAGCCTGTATTTAACAATGAGCTTTGATGCAAACTGTACACCTCCACTGGTGAGGAAGAATTCATTCTATGTTTTTCCCCAGGTAGCAGCAAGGTAGTGAACAGTACTGAGTCCTGGGAGAAATCTCACCTGTGGGCACCAACACCTGGGGGTGCAGAATTTCTCATCATCGCTTTTTTATGATGCCTCCCACTTCTTATGCTAGCCTTAAATATATAGTGTAGGTACGCTGCCTCGATTTTGACTTCAACAGAGAGTATCTGATGCCTTGCTGGTTACTGTGCCTATGAGCAGATGCTGACCCGTAAAGGGAAGCAGGAACAGGGCTCCTGATCTGGAGGGGAGATTGTACCTGCAAGTACCCAGGGCAGACACTCAGAAGGAACCCTAGAAGCAGCTGCACTTTGGGATGACATTTAGGCTGAAGTTAGTTAATATTATACTGATAATTTTTGTTACTAAGACTGCACACAAAGAAGTAACGGGTCTGGATTGTGCACAGAAAGCTGGCTGCAATTGACAGCACGCAGGGCACTTGCTCCAGTCCTGCTGCTCTGCAGCACACGTCTGAAGGACTCCAGATCCACCTCCAACACCCCCCACAGCCAACCACACGTGCAAAACTCCAAACACAGATGCTACAGACCTGAGTGGTAAGATGTACCTGACTCATTCACTGATTTGCTGGCACGTTCAAAGAGTTTTATGTCCATCTTTGAGTGCACACACTAGTAATTCAACTTAAACTGTCCTAGGTTCAAAATTAGGAAGCTAACAGAAGTCACTTGTCCTGTTAAAAGAGTCATTACCTCCCATACACCAAGCAAACAGGAGATCGCTCCCCTGAAGCGTGGCACCCAGCCAGAGCTTTCCCATCGCACTCACCCGAATCACATCCAGTTCTTTGTTTCTTTGCATAAGTTGTTTTTCCAGTTCCACAATCTTTGCCATGGCTTCATTCTCCGTATCTTGGAGTTTTTCAGATAACTATCATTCAAAAGAGAAATAGATGATATAAGTGAGTAACAGCAGTTTTCTCAACCAAAATGTCAAGAACACTTGTTGGAGCAGTGGTATGTGGTAAATTATTGATATTCCACCAAACCCTGAAGTCTTTCTTTGGAAAGAGAAAGGGTTCCCGCATGCAATCGGGGGGCACTAAGTGCTCTGCTGAAGGTTCCTCTGATGATGAATATTATCCTTCAGCTACAACCAGCAGGTAGCCTGGCTGGACTGTAGCTATGAACCTGTCCAGGTAAGAAATCCTACTCCCCAGTAAAGCACTTAAAATGCAATTATTTTCATACACACTAAGTCTGATCTGAAACCCCCAAATCCCACAGAATACCACAATGGCACTGTTGCAAAACCAGTAGAGGCTGGAATGGTGGAACCTATAAATACCCCCTCTCATAACGAGGCTAATTTGATTATTAATGAATGAAGGAGTTTATTTTCTTTTTTTCTCCATTGTCTTTTGATTTATTTTTATTTTTTGCCAGCCTCACAAACCTGAGGTTTGGAAGCCCCACAGTTTTCGTTGGCTTTTTCCATCACCACCAATCACACCAACTCAGGCGAGGCTGCAGAGGTGGTGAGGTGGCATCAGTTGCTGTGGTTTTGAGATAAAACTTCTGCAATTCTATTATTAGTACTTCTGTCAACACATGACAGAAAAATTACGTCCATACTCCTGGGATGAGTCTAATTTATGCAACAAGAGATCAGAAGCAAGCCCTTAAAAATTTGCCATGAGAGTAAACTGTTAAGTTTCTAAACAGCTAAAAGGAGTAGATGTAGGAAGCAAACAGTGCCATTTCTACTGAATCACTTGTCTCTAGCAGAAGGGCACCTCAGACGGGCAAATACTGCACAGCAAATTATTTTAAGAACATATTTATTCTAAGTGATGGCAATGTAGGAATGGTAAGAGAATGACGACCTTTGTATGATTTTTTTTTTAAGTATGGGAAACCACTTTGATTTTAAAACGCTAAGCCATGTTTTCCAGACTAAAGTAATTGACACTGAGAAGGTATGGGACAGAAAAGCCGTGACCAAACACTGAATTGAGCAAACACTGAATAACTGCACAGCGCTATTTTTCAGTCCCTTCCCTCCTGAGCCCAGTAATGTGTTTTAAGACACAGATGGGATGGTTATCTGCTCTATTTACCGGTACTGCATTGCTGAGGAATTTGCAATTTCTATGTAAATTAGCCTTCCCAGCTCACGTGATATCTCTGTGCAGAGGCTCGGTGCACCAAGTAACTCCACCTGGAACCGCAACCGAACCGAAGCTGAAGCCTCCAAAGCTGCAAACCTGCCGTGCCAGGGCCTCGGGGGGGTGCGACCCTTTGCTCGGCTAGCCCCCAGCATGGGGGGGTCACCCCCTCCCAGCTCACCACAGCTTTCAGAGGATAAACTGGCTGATGCTATTGAGGCGTGTGAGTACTGCAGCCGTGGCCATGTAAGTGGTTAGACGGGCAGGCACCGCACAGCACGGGCCAAACTGTCCCTTGACGTACAGAGAAACAGCATATCAAGCCCCACATTAACAAGCAACGCTACTCCTTTTTAAGAAGCTGGGGGTTGTGTCAGATAGCAGAGTAAATAAAATGACAGAATGAGACATTTCGTCACCAGATCAATAAACAGCTTATGAACAAATTTTTGTAGCAAGTGGAGCATCCGTTAACTAAAACATGCAGAATTATGAGGTTCAGGATATAGCATGAAAGCACCCAGGAAGTTTACCTGCCTGATATCTCCCAAATTCCTTAAATTTGCCAAATATCTTGACTACTGCCCCAATACAGAAGCACAGTAGTCCCAAGGCTTTTTCTAAGTGAACCTCACCCCAAAGGCTGTAGCCCCACTGCGCCTGTGCTTCCACCTCCCCAAATGGGCAGCAGCAAAGCCCATGTGCAGAGCGGGCTCTGAACTACTTCAGAGGCAAAGGTGACAAAATGTGGTACTAACATGGGAAATGTTTTCTTCCAGTTCTTCGACTCTTTCCAGGGCTGCGTTCTTGGTTTCAGCATCCTCCAGCAAAGCTCCCACATCAAAAACGTTATCCAGGTAAGCTTGAATTTGTACCTGCAGTTTGTCGCTCTCCGTGTGTTTCAGTTTCTGCAAATCCAAGAAGAAAAGGGTGTCACTCAGCACTGGCAGCCCTTTGTGGCAGGAGGGCTGCAGACAGCAAGCGGCGTGGGGAGAGCGGTGGGAGCTCAGGCCACTTGTCACCCAGGAAAACACTTTGCATTTTAACGTTAGCTGGGTCACTAAGTGATAAATAGTCATTTTTGAAGATGAAACAACCAAAGCTTCCAAACAAAGCTAAACAGTGTCTTACCTTCTGTTACTACAGAGGATATGACTGCTCTCCTCCGTGCTTGCTCCTTGAACATGGCAAGCTCTGAATCCACCACCCAGCCCTGGGACGGTGCAAGGCTGGCGAGGCTGGCGACTGGCCCACGGTGGCCACCAGCTCAGTGGCCAGTAGGCAGAGGTGAGGCCTGTGTTTGGGTTCGAAGCAGGTGCATGGCCCGGAGCAAATCCTCCGATTGCTCTCACTGACCTTGCGTTGGGTTTGCTGTGTTCAAAATGAGCATGCTTTATCTCCAAAGATAACGTCAGAGCACGCTAACTGCTCTGCCTGCTCCCAATGGACTGCAGGGTTTGTGCCACCCTGGGACCCCAAACAGACCCGTGCTCAGAATCACTGTGTACGAATACTTCTTGCAGACAGCAAAAAAACCCTCTCCTGGTTACTGCTGAGCAGAAGTCAGCAGGGACAAATCAATCCCTCGTCAACACGAGCACTGTTTTTGTGTCTGTGCTCCCAAGGGCAGGGAGCGGGAGAGACAGAAAAATACAAAAGGGGAAATATAAAAGCAGCTTTCTTCTGAAAGGGAGCATTTCCCACAGGACGCCAGAAAACGCCTGGCTGTCAGGAGAAAACTCAAAGGAGGACTTTTTTCACACGGAGACGGAGGGGGCCCTGGCGGCACCTGAGCTGGGGCCGACACGAGGCCCAGCAGCCCGCGGCTGGAGGTCAAGAGACGTGGCGTGGGCGAGGACGACTGCGGTTCATCCTCCCTTTGTTATAAGGCAAAGCTACAAATTTAGCTCCCGGTCTGTAATTGCAGCTAGTTGCCGCTGATTTGTCTTCTGCAGGGGTGGCTCCAGGCCACAGCCCCCAGTCAGCGGCCAAGGCACTGCATTTTTAGCAGCGACTATGGGACAGCCCTGCTCTGCCCTCCCAAAAACTCTCGGGTGAGGAGGTTTGGGGAGGTTTAAGGCTAGGCTGGGCAGCGGCAGAGCTGGGGGATGTGGTGTGGACCCGCCACGGTGGAGACCTGGGTCATACTCACGTCCAAGTACTCGTCCAGCCCGAGCTTCGTAAATTCGTACTGCAGGTGGACTCTGAAGTTCATGTCCTCCACCGAGTGGACAACGATGTTGATGAACTGCATGCAGGCCACCTGCAAGGAGAACCGCTCCACATGAGACGAGGCGACGGCACGGCCCCGGCTGCCTCCCGAAAACCCTGGGCACAGGGTCGGAGCGGGCTCTCCCAGGGCCCCACGGGTCAGACACAGCAAATGACCGCATTTCCTTGCGGTTACTACACGAGGGGAAACTGTGATCCGCTATTCTGCGGCTTTTTTTCCAAGCCGGTGCTGGATTCAGGCTTACGGGGTGTTTGTCTGCTGTGATAAAGGGAAACGTGGGTTCCAGAAATTAAGTCATGTCTGCAGAGTCTACCTTTACTGCGTGCTGGTGAACAGAAACGCTTTCCGTGCCAGCTCGCACGGCCAGACGTCGTACAAGCACACAAGCTCTTAAGAAAACAATGCTGTTTCTGAAACGGCCTGTAAAAGTGAGATTAATTTTGCAACTGGAACCCCTAGCTTAGGAAACGGGACTTTCACAAAAGGCGCCTTGTTGTTTGCAGAAAGCATATTTCCAAAGCTGTGGTTTGGTAACTGAACAAGGGACCAGATCATAGGAGTTGGCATCCAAACGCGTCCAAGCACAGCGAAGGAAAGGAAAAGGCTCTCGAGCGAAGCGGGTCACGAGCAGAAGGAGCAGTGGGGGAAACCTCCTGCAGAGTGGCAGGAATCGGGCTACAAACCCCCAAAGGTTTGCCCTTTACTTGAATGTAAGGCACTGCCAAATCCTGCTCTGCCCAAGAATCCCCAACCCTCTTTCAGCTCACAGCTGACCACGTCTGTCACTCTCTGAGCTGCTTTAAGAGGAGGTTTGCGTAGTCCTTCCTGGGTTTTTTAAGGGCATAACCCTATCCTGCCAGCAACGCTGCAGCAGGGGTAATACCAAGCTTCTCAACATATCTGGGAAGTGTCTCAGTAGTTCTAGAACGAATCTGAGAGAAGACAAAAATCAAAGCAACCTGATTTTACCTGCAGGACAAGCCCCTAAGAGACCCCACGTCTCTGGGTCATTTTGTGGGAAGAACAAACTGAAGACCACTCTCTGGATTACCAGTTTGCTACAGGAAATTAGCCAATTCTCTGCGATCTGCTCTAGGGCCCAGAGGATAAACTCATGGGCAGGCATCTGCTGTGTGGTGGCCTTTGACTACAGGTCTGGCCAGGATGCCCTGGGCTGCTCCTCCCAGCTAGAGCTCCCAGCAGCCGCTGAGCTGCCATAAAAACTTTCCTGGCTGAACTGCCCAGTACTGCCCGGCTTTGGAGCTGGGACCAAGGGGACACAACAAGCCAAAATGGTTCAGTCAAAACCTTTCAGCTACATCTTCCCATGTAGCTCCTGGCCAGCTTTAACCACTTGGTTTCCAAAATTACTTTAACCCTAGATAATACAAAGTTGTGAGACTGGTAACAGGTATAACCCCAAAGAAGAGAGGAAGGAAGATGGTCTAAAGACTCATCCAGGAGCTCCTGTGATGCCTCATCCCCACCTCTCGGTGTGTACCCATCTCTTGCATGAACAACCTGATCCATGCAGCTGGAAACTTAACTTCAGGTTTCAAGTCTTTGCAGTACGCTTTGTAGTTCCTGAGCTGAACCCTGGTTCCTCCTAGTGCTGGTACTGGCCCTCGCCAGCTGAACCCTGCTATCCTGTTGTATCACCCAGAGCCAAATTCCCCCTTTTCAAAAGCGCTTTTGTTGTACTTGCTTCGGCTCTCGCAACATTAGGGCTAAATTCTCATTTCCTTTCTCAGATCCTTACATACACAACTAAGGAATTTATCAAGTCAAAGAAAACTAATCTAAGAAAGTTGCTTTTAAAATGAAGTCAGTCAATGTCAACAACAGGAACCTTCTCTAAAATACTTCTGCCTTTTTGTTGCTCTTTCCTCCCTGTTGATCCATGCAATTAACCGCAGCCCCTTCCAGCTCCAGCTTCCCAGACAGCTCTCGCCTTCTCCATTTAGGGCAGCGTGAAAGCCAGGTCCTGCAGGAATAGCTCTTTGTTTATGTTCGGTTGTTGCAACTCCTTGAATTACTCAAGCTTTTAACGTTACGTCCTGGAGCCTGGGGCTCCGGCACCCGTTTTATCCCATCCTGCGGAAAGGAGCGATGTCTGCCTCGGGCACACGCTGGTGCAACCCGCAGGCTCCCGCAGCGCCGGTATCGCAGCGAGCCGGCGGGCAGGGGGCCACCACGCTCCCCGCTCGCCCCCCAAAGCGCGCTCGGTGGCCAGCGCTCGCGGCAGCACGCGGAGCTCGTTAGGGCCAGATGGTGACAAGAACGAGCGGATCTGCCAAATCGTTTGTCATGAGCTCTCCCTCCTAGCTTTAGGGTTTTCATATAGTCAAGCCCTTAAGTGGTGGAAGCTGCCCAAAGATGCAGATTTTCTTAGTACTTGGGCAAGTCCTGAAAAAAATATATTTATCATTTTTCAAGCAAATTTCACCACTAACTTCAACCTGTGACCTGAGAGGACCAGGGAATTTTCTTACAGGCCGTCCAGATGGATGCTGAATATTCACAGCTCACCGGGCTTGTACTCACATGCATATTGCCTATTACATCCTTACAATACACCATTTCATATCTTAAATAAAGATGAGGGATGATTTTTTTTTAAAAAGAGTGGGCAAATCCCATAGCTCACAGCAAGGTGGCTGGCTGCAGGCTGCTGCCACCGTCTTCCTTCCAGGCTGCACTGAGCTGTGTTATTCTCACGCTCCCCAAATACGCTTACCCCTCCCTGTGAGCACGGGAAAAATGACTAAAAGTCAGGTTTTGAGGACTGACAAATCTTTCTGTTATATTACAGACTAAATTGTATGTACATCTGAGAATACTTAATGTATACTGTGACTACCAACATGTCCTTACTGGGACTGCAGTAATAAGGAACAAAACCAACTGTAACATGTCAGAGAGTTACTGAAAGCAGCTTGCTAACTTGAGTAAAATTGCAGGGATCGCTATAACTTTTTTTTTTTTTCAAATACAAGAAAGAGGCCATCCTATCTCACTAATACCACCTCCTTTTTATTCTGCTGTCCCCTCAAGGGTGTGAGCCTGCCCTGGCCTTCAGGGCTGCAAGCCACTGACGCCGGAGCGTTCAAAGCCTGTAGGAAACACCACACCAGGTGCTTTAACACCCAATTCCTGACAGAAAAAGATCTTTAACACAAAGCTCAGCACTAAACAGTATGAAGTGTCACAGATGCTTAACAGAGGCCTCAGCAGACTGACAGTCTGACCTGGTGGGATGCCCTCCTGCTCTGCTCTCACCTCAAAACAGGATCACATCAGATCCGAAGCACTGAGCACGAGCCGTGCAAAGGAGACTGCACTGACCACGCCAGCAGTTGCATTACAATTAAAAATAGGACTTAAATTTCTCACACTTCTGACACCAGCACTCACTTGCTATAGACTTTAAAAAAACAGATACAGAAGTATTTTTTATATTGGACATATAACCAGCTAGCTCATCCTTACTGTCGCAACCTCTGCCTTTCACGTGCTGCCAATGTGCAAGCGGGCGCCGGTGTCTGTGGGTGCCAGCCAGAGCTTCCTCTCTTGCCATTCTCTCTTGTGCTCCAGGGGAAGTGGATTTGGTGAATAATCATGCATATGCACATTGAGGAACCACAAGTGGAGCAAACTACTGCTATATTTATCAGCAGATACGGACAGACAGCAGCTGCAGTGAGTCTCTCCCACACTTCCCTGTCTGTGACTCTGAGGATGTTGGCACACGGACAGAATATGCATCTTGATATTGCAGAAGCTGCTGCTTTGCTGCAGCGAAATAGCACACGCGACCAAAAGGCCACTTTCCTCTTACCTTCACTATGGTACAAGGCATTTCTTGAAGATAACTGAATTGAATGGAAGCTAAAAATGAAGTGCACATTATGTAGTTTAGAATACAAAAAATTGTATTGTGGTAATTTTAGGCCAAGGATCAGAAGGCAGATACATCTCTGCCTATGGCAGCAGCACCAGACACAGTAAATACTGAAACCAAAGTTTGCTGGTGATAAATAGCACTCACCATAAAGTCTATATTGTTGTCTTCATTTCGGAAGTGCTCCATCAGCTTCTCGAAGCGCTGTTTCTCTCCACACACCTACAAAAGAATCACCATGTGTTTGTTAAACTACAGCTTGCAAGAGAGAGTATGAAAAACATTTTAAAAGTAGCTCATCCGCTTGCTCAAAACCTCTCCGTCCAGGTTTCCTCTCTTGTTAAAAATGCTCTTCTTCGTGACAAATCCAGCGGAGGAATCGCAGGTGAACACCTGCACTGCAAGTCTAAGGGGTCAGGTACAATTATAACATAACTTTTTGTATCTCTTTTCCACCTAAAAATTTAATCATACCCACTGATGGTACAAATGTAAGCCACAGAGTTGCACCAGGCTATGCCACAGGAAGAGTTGGTCTCTTTCACAGTTCAGAATTGGCTTTCTACTGTAATACAATGTAATTAGGGAGAACAACAAATTACAGGGAGGAAAAAAGAAAATTATCACCAGCTAAATGAGGAGTGAAATACATCAGCGCAACTATCAGCTGGTCAGAATTACAGAGCCCTAATACAGGGGCGTTGGCAGGAAACACAAGCAACTTGAGGGAGAAATAAGATCTAAGATAAAGCAGGTCCCAGGATACTGTTTAAATCTTATTACTTCCCAGTAGCTTTTCTGGCTCAGTCCCGCTTTTCCCAGCACACAAACGATCTAGAGTAATCCACACCAAAATCACAAAATATTAAATAAGTTGGAGCAGAGGTGAGCACCAGGAGGTGCACCCATTTCCCCATCCTCCCTACTTAGCAACTGCAACTCCCCGCTCTGTGGTGCATCGTTCAGGGCATTTTTTCTGTCCCTGCATGAACGGACTACACCGAATACCTAAGCTGTAGGGCTAGGAGCCGGTGCATGGGAGCCACCCTGAGCCCAGCCATCCCAGCTAGCCCCACCGTCCCAGCATGGTCGGATGGGAGGTGATGGGGGCAGTGCAAAGTGTCCCACTCGCACGTTCCCAAATTCACTGAGAGCTTCCTCATACCCCGCACCATGAGTTGACTTCTCACTTGCTGGATTTTGGCGTCAAACCGAGCAGCGAATTCAGGAAGAGCACAGGCATGCTCTTCTGAACAAAGCCCTAAGTGCCTGGGTAGGCACATCCGTGCACAAACGGTGTTAAATGCTGCTTCACCCTCCTCAGATGCTGGCTGTTTGCAGAGGGACAGAAGACGCTCTGAAGGAAGCTGGTTTGCTCTTAAAAGGTCCTGAAAAACAGAGTCTGCTCATCTGGAGGACTGAAACTTCCCTTCTGCTGAGGAACAAAACCCTTGGTGAGCCCAAGAGGCTCCTTCCTTCCTTCCTTCCTTCCCCAGATTTCACCCAAATGTCCCAGGAGCGTCGGGTGCTACCGATCAGGAGCAGGGGACATGGCAGTGGGACATCCAACCCCAGCTGTCCGGTTAGGGTCTGCCAGCCTCTGAGCAGCACACCCCCCAAGCCATCAGCTGCTGTTTCCCTCAGCAGCCAGCTCATGGCACAAGCAGTTATGTGAAATTAGCCAGCAAATGGTAATTAAGGAATGGTGGGAGCACTGGCTACTTCTGCTTTGGAAACTAACCTTTCTGGGGCAGGGACTGGTTCTTTGTACACATTTCTACATTTGTGTCTCCCACAAGGAGACCAAACCCCCAACTGGTGTTTCTAGATACTCCCAAAAAGCAAGTTCTTCACAAAGTATGCATTATTATTACCATTCCCATATCAGCTTCCTCTTCCTAACTGTGTCTATCTTACAGCAGGTACCTAGGCAAAGATTAAGGCACTGGGCAGACCTCACTGAAGTCACACAGAGTTTAGTGGGACCTAAACTGCTGATCACAAGATCTGCAAAGCACAGTGAGTAGTGGCCTGCTGGGTGACCTCTCGCCACGCTTTCTGCTGTCTGTTACAACTTAAAAACAACATACTTGTGGTGTACATGATACATCTTCTGTCATTCCTAAGCAAAACTGCCACAACTGGGTTATTATTCAGATATTTGTCATCAGTACCTGACGTCAGTGGGAATTCTGCTACTGGATCTCTGTGAGAAGACAGGGACACTGGTTATGATGAACTATTTGACAACATTACCATCAATGTTCATGGCCAAAATCCCACAAGATGCAACTAATGGGCTCCGTGCAGGCTCAGCAACCCCCACTCGCACAGCCTCTGGTAGGCAGGGTGCTGAAGTCACACACAAACACTTGCTAAAGTTATATTTAAATATTTCCAGCTGAACCTTAAAGACTCACAATGTAGAATAAACACACTTAAACAAGAAAGCATGCACCCTCATGAAAAACAGACTGCACTTGTTGGTCAAGCAAATTACCATGACCTTAAACCCAAAGGACTCATCTCTCTCTACAGCCTATGCCACGAAAGTGGTTTTGAAGCATTAAACACCTTTACACGGGCTGCTCCACTAGGCCCATAAAACACACACTGAGGTCTAAGATAGACTACAACAGAGCCGAGACAGACCCAGTCTTGGATGGAGCAAGTCTCCTTGGTATTGCCTGGCCTGCAGTCGTGCGAGGGGTGAAGCATACGTGACCCGTCTCTCTGCTTAGCAGAGATGGGGTCCCTGGGACACGGAAAGGACGGGTGAGTTTGGAGAGCCACTGCCATTCAGCTTCAGGTTGTAAATCTTCAGCCTAATCTCGAGCTTTTCTTCAGGAGTATTCCTCGTAAAGCCTCCCTACAGCATCAGGAATTGTCCTGCTGGGAGACCAAAGTCCAAACACCGCGTGCACATTGCTGATGGTTACAGCAGCTCCAACGAAAACTGAGGGCGGGCGAGCGAGCCCCTGCCCCAGCCTCCCAGTGTGCTGTGCTTCGCAGCGGGTGTCTCGAGAGCTGGTGTCACTGGTGAAGAGCCTTAGGCTCTGCAAAGCCACCAAATGGCCAAACTCAAAAATTCAAAATGGCCAAGAGCAACCTTGGAAAGATAGGGAGATCATCGTGAGTATTTTGACATGACTATCCTGGTTTCACAAGCGTGCATTTAAAAGCGAGAGGTGGGATAAGCACACTCCGGTGGGGACCGAGCATCTCCGCACCAGACGACGGCACCAGAGCCTGCCGGCATCGCGTCCGTCTCCCCAGCTCTCCGTGTGCAGGACCAGGAATCGTTTTGTCATGAAGAAGCCCAAGTTCATTGAACATGCAGCATTGTGACCTACTCCGGGCACTTACCACAAACGCCCCACGGGGCACCCTCTCACCACGGGCCCCCCAAAAGCACTCTTGGCAGGGTGCAGCCTGCAGGCACGCAGCTCAGCTCTGGCGTACACCCCTCCCGGGACACATACGCTTCCGTGCAGGAGCAACATGCCCTTCAGGAGGAAAAGAGATGAAATGCTGACAAGAGGCTGGCCTCTGTCAAGAAGAGCCAAAGAGAAAACCAGAATCTGGCCAGGTTTCAGGAACCTACTGGCACTGTAAGGATCAAAGGCAGCAGCTGCCCACCGATATAATTTGATTTTCGAGGCAGCTCCCACTCAAAGCAAACCCAAGGAACCCTCTCCTTCACTTGCACCACAGGCTGCTTAGATGCACTCATCCCTACGTTATTATCCCAAGCCATTTTTTTCCTACTATAGTAAACGGGATGGTATTTCAGTTCGACCAACTGCAAATTCTTCCAGTGCTCTCCGTACTCTCCCCTCCCCACAAAACAGTTAAGAGTCCACATAACAAAAGAAAAAAGTAGGTTCATCTCAACTTTGAGCATTAAACAATCACGTCTCTCTCATACCCACTTCAGAAAAAATGGAGCCGACTTGAACAAAATCATGTATCGTAGAAACAAACATAACAATGGTGCATACGATCACTAAATAAAAGCCAGAAGGACTGATTTCTGGGAAATCTAATGTAAACCGTTCCACATGGATGAGAAAAGCTGACATAAACAACTACAAGCCATTTATGGCTGACTAATTAAATTAGGGAGCAACCCGAAGTGATACAGCGCCGGCAGAGAATTGCCGATCCCGGGACACAAGCAGCCCTGGCTGGCTGGGATACAGCAGCTGATAGCAATAGGAAAAGCAACAACAACCTGCGGCTTTCGGTGGCTGCTCGCAGATATTTCACACTATCATCAGATGAGTCAGTGCTGGGAACATGTGCGTTTCAAGAGACAGCGAGCTGACTTTCATGAAATGATATAATTTATCCTGGAAGATTAAAGAGAGTGAAACTGTAGATGAAGTCTACAGCCTGAAGATTGGCCAAAATCCAAGACGAATGCTGAAATCAAATCCCACCACATAAAACCATATGTTGCCATTTATATTTGAATAAATTTCCAAGGTCTGTCATTTGAAAGTATGGCTGGGACTAAGAAAGGCTGATCTTTCTTTTATTAGCATTATTCTATGTAAGAAGCAAGATTAAACGGGTTACCACGGCTATAAAAAACCTCTGTCTCTACTTAGGCTGTGAAAAAAAACTTTTTAGGTTGCATTAAGCCCACGTCATTCTAGAAGAACAATGTGGCTTTATGGAAAACCACCCACGGAGGGTCCTTTCTCTGGAAAGCGTTTGGGTGCTAATGAAGTAAACCCATCACAGATCTATTACAAAGGTACAACACAATCCTATAAGGAAGCAAAAGGATCCATTATGAAAAGTTTAGCAATGATTATATCCATATCCACCTGGCAATGCTCTCAGGTCATACGGTTCACATCCAGACCACCCAAGAGCAACGTTCAATTACCCCACCCTCACGTTGCTCCTGCTCCAGTGGCCAGATTACTGTAAGATGCTCCAGAAAGGCAACCTGGGCAGACAGCAAAAGACAACAAGGGTATTTTGGAAAAACTGAAGATGTTTTCATGCGCAGTGTCAGGCAGAAAGTGAAAATCCAGGCTGATTGAAGCACATCCATCATCCTACCTCAGACGGTTACCTAACAACACGAAGCACAACCTCATTTTGTTGCAGAATGGAGCTCGTAACTAAACCTCACCACAAGCAAATACAGCGTGTTCCATATGGAGATGGCAGCGAACACAGGCAGTATTTCAGGCTTTGGAGCTGCA